AACTTTTTTTGTTTGTTTGTTTCCAAAATAAATGCCTTTAGCAGCAGAATTTAAAAGCCTATGAACAAGCTATATTTTCACCATTTCAAAATGGAAAATTTTAACAAGTACAGGTTATCAAGTTTGCACTCAACTATGCCAAAAAAAAGTTTGAAGCACTCTAATCTCAGACATGCTGTATTACTTCTTATTCGAGATTTAAAAATATAAAGGTATCCAAACTGCTGTCTTAATGTAAATGTTCCTTCAAGTGTTCATTAGGGAGTTGGTTTCTCTCTTAAAGACACTCACTGTACAACTGAGAGCAGCTGTCATATTTCTGGCAAAAATGTGTTTACTTATCCAACAAGCTGTATATTTGTGTATGGACTGACATAAAATGTGAATGCCTATAAGTGTACACGTAGTGGTGTGTTCTGTCTAGAGGATATAACTGAATGTTTATAATTTACTGGCTTACTGACACAGGCTGTTTACAAAATGCTAGCTCGTAAGTCTGTAATTCTCATGTCCTAACTTTTAGTTAATTGCCATTAAGCACCAGTTCTGTTTCTGAGAAGGTGAGATGTGGTCTTGTGCTTATAAACTGAAGAGTTTAGTCATAATCCCTCCTGGCTTTATGTGACTAGCTTGCCTACTTTGCTGGCCTCTGATGTGTATACTCCTGGGTAAACTGTCCATGTGTTTGTGATGAGAGTGCTTGTCAACCATGACCATCACTGAATCTTCCTAGTTTTTCACCTTGCACAGTATTTGCAATGGCAAGGGATATGCTTCATCCTCTAACAGTATACAAAGAGCTCATATTCTGGATTGTGACACTGTGCACATTTCCTCTAGTTTATTTCTGTAGTCCCTAAAGAACGATCTGTAATAAAATAGCTCACTGGACTGTGCATCAAAGGGATGTAAAATTACAGTATTCCAAAGGTTGAAGTTCTACTGTTTTGTTATAATGCCTGGTATACATCTTGAATAAAGTCTTAACATTTTTCTTTTAAAAAACATCTCTGTAATGTTGGGCTTATGAGGAAAGAAGAAATACTTTAAAAAAAAAAAAAAGTAGCAAGGATTGGAAGCTGAGTGCTCAGCAACTAACTGGCCTGGTGACTTGGCCCCATGCCTACTGCATAGGATTATTGGGAGGAAAAATAATTAAATGACATGAATGTTTTAAAAACCAGTTCATTACACAAATATAAACCTGAAAGTATCACTGTTTTACATTTTTAAAGATCATCAGTGGAAAACGAATAGCTGTGCAAATAGAGTAGTTCATTGGTAGGCAGTTTTAATTCTGCAAACAGACCACCTTTGGTCTGTCGTTCTCTTTCTCTGAGCGTTTATTCGTCTGCAAATGGGAGAGTACCTGCACAGGTCAGAACAGGGTGGCTGGTGCACATGCAGGGCCACTGTGGGTGTAGGGATGCTCTTATCCCGATAGCAGCCCTTTAAAATATGAACAGGTCTGGGCTGGCTGGTTAGCTCAGTTGGTTGGAGTATGGTGCTGATAACGCCAAGGTCCAGGGCTCAACCCCTGTAACGGCCAGCCACCAAAAAGGAAATAAAACACATATGAACAGGTCCACTCAAGCTTCTTTAAGTGGTCATAAAGACTTGGAAGCTCAAAATTTGAAAACATTAAAATTAAAGACAGGCCCATATTCTTTGCTTTTATAGTTCTATATTTTATGTCTGACACAAGGACTGTAAAGTGAAGCAGTAGCAGGAAAAGAAGCAGATTCGGAGGACTGAAAGTAGGAAAAAGAGATGGAAAGAAAGAAATCCATTCATTTATTCATTTACTGAGCCAGGTCCAATGTCAACAGTAGTGACATTAACCAGATTAAGAGTTGACAGATATCAGGAAAACAAAGTTATAAAATTTAAAAGCTGAATTGGTACAGTATCATAAAGAAGTATTTAGTATTTATAAGTACTGTCACCCAGCCCCCTTTTTTAAAAAAGAAATTTTTTTTACATTCATAGATGATGTTGTAGAGCAGTGGGAGAGGCAGGTGGGAGGGGGGTAGGGAAACGGAGGCGGAGGTGGGGGGCGGAGTTGAGGCCCATGGGTTCCCCCACTACTGGAGCCGGGGGGGGGGGGGGGGTCCACCGGGGGCGCGGGGGGGGGGGGGGGGGGGGGGG